TACATAACCTTCGGAGGTTCTATGTATGATCGTATTATGTTTGATTAATTAAAAACGAAATCATTTCCAGTCTCGAATTGCAGTTACATTTTATGTATAATAGGCAAAGTTCGTCAGTTCGGTGATGGTGTCAACGGTTTTAGAAATAGATCGTAATAATGACCCTTTCTTTTTCTTTTTTTTAAAAAAAAGCTTGGAATCTCAAAATTTACACCATTTTAATTGATGTAAAGAAAATGCCTCGTGGGATTTAGATCTGTTACCAACGTACGTTTTATTGCGTCAAATTATTCTTTTAGGCTTCACGAAATTGCACTTATACTTCCCATCTCATCCAGATTCCAGATTATCTCAACTAGGGGGCCAACCAAATAGGTTTTTCTGTCTTTATTTGCACACGATGGCGGAAATAGAACCCAACTTCCCAAACGTTGTGATTTTGTAATATTTAGGCGATGGACAAAGCCTAAAAGAACAGTTTAACACAATGTAAAGTACCACCCCTTGAAGTCAACTTGAATTCAACGTACATTTTAGTAAGATGATATAGTTGCGTCATATTGTGAAATTTAATTAATTATTCAGTTTTTGTCCGTCTAATCACAATTCATATATAAATTTACAATTAAGATAATTAAAATATCATTTTTTATGTTCCTCATCGAACAATCGATTTACAATTGGAACATCTTTTTACAACATGTTTCGGTTTCTATATAAACCATCTTCAGGTGTAAAAGTTAAAATTATAAACTTAAATTTAATTACAATTTCTGATATGCAACTTTTTGGTGATGTTCACTTCCAGATTCATTTTTATATTGGAGTGAATGTTTTTTGGTGTTCTACATCGGCCTGTAATACAAATGATTTAAATCATTCACTCCAATATAAAAATGAATCTGGAAGTGAACATCACCAAAAAGTTGCATATCAGAAATTGTAATTAAGTTTTAAGTTTATAATTTTAACTTTTACACCTGAAGATGGTTTATATAGAAACCGAAACATGTTGTAAAAAGATGTTCCAATTGTAAATCGATTGTTCGATGAGGAACATAAAATGATATTTTAATTATCGTAATTGTAAATTTATATATGAATTGTGATTAGACGGACAAAAACTGAATAATTAGTACATTTTAGTCTAAACGACTGAATTTTGAGGTGTAAACGAAATAATTAATTTTGAATTACATTTACTGTCATTTTACATATGCCATAGAAATTTGACCGGCTGGGATTAAGCTGTGCTGTTTCCTCGACCTGCCAGGTGAATCTGAAATAGACCGCGGCTACAGCATGCAGTTCGTTATTCATGAGACGTAACTGATGTGGCTGATACACGCCGTTAAACAGAAGTCTGTCTTTCTTTCGCCATGTAACTTATTTTTATTTTATTTAGTGTTCTGTCTGAGGACAGGTCTATATGAACAGGATCCTTCCATCCTTTTCTCGGACTGGGACCTGTTCATATACGTTCTTGGCAGATGATCCAGAAGTGGTTTGCCATTGCCTTCTTCTGTGTGTGAATGGAGTAATTGTTGGGATGCCACGGAGGAAAACTCCGTGTTGCCTAGACCACGGCCTTGCCCAACACAAGTTATAAATTCGGGCACCGCCGGGAATCGAACCCGAGACCCCAGGATTACAAGGCCAGCGTTCTAACCGCTAGACCACCGTGGCTTTCCATGTAGCTTATAAAAGTTAAATTTGTGCCTCACTATTTGCGTACTTACAGACAATTATCGAGGACGACGAAAGTGATTTTATCATTTCCATGTGAAAAGAAATTCTAGGGCGTTAATGTGATGTTCCTTTTTGTTATTAGCTTGTGAGGGTGCAGACTGACTGATCTTGTGTCTCAGGACACGTTCCAGAAGCAGTCTGTTGCGTACACAATAATGATATTCCTATTTCTTTCAAAGACTGAATTTGTTGATGAGCTGAGTGAAGAAGGTCTCTGTTCCAAGAGGTAGATGTTCGTCCACGCGGCTGTATTTGCTTTGGGTCACACGGTACTACATTTGAATCCCCCACTGACGCCGTGGAAACGGTTGTGAGAAGTCTCAAGATGTAAGCGGCGCGTAGAAGAGATAACATTATCGAACTCTTGAGTTTCACTTACACCATTTTCTTACGATTATATTATTATCCACGTAGTTTCAGATAGAAGGAGCTAAGTGCCACTCCAAATTGTTACACCGTGAGAAAGGATTTTCGTTCTTGGCGGCATTAATCTAGGAAGCATCGTTATTCAGCATTATACGAAGTGATACTGGTTGATACACACGTTCTTCGTCGATATTTTGAACTGAATTAATATATTTAATTAATTATTCTTGTCCGTCTAATCACAATTTAAAATTTAAAAATTAAGATAATTAAAATATCATGTGATGTTCCTATCTAAATGTAAATCGAATGTTTCGATAGGAACATCACATGATATTTTAATTATCTTAATTTTTAAATTTTAAATTGTGATTAGACGGACAAGAATAATTAATTAAATAAATTAATTCAGTTCAAAATATCGACGAAGAACGTGTGTATCAACCAGTATCACTTCGTTCATCTTATGAATTAATATGATTATATCACTTAGTTTATGTAGCAAAATAAAAGGATCCTTTGTATTTCTTACCTACTTCATGATTGTAGTTACATACCAAGTACACAGCTTTATGCATTAAGTGCGTATGGTGGCTTGTTGCGCCGTGTGGCCTGATAGAAGTTTACCGACGTTTCAGAGGTCCCAAGTACTGCTAAACGGTTGAGATATTGACTCATGTCCATACAACCTATGTACTCAAAATAAGCCAATGATTAACAGTCCTAAGTTTAAAATTAAATTATTTGGTTATTCCGTCAAATCACAATGTATTTAAAATAAGATAATTAAAATAATTAAAATATCATTCTGTGTTCCATATCGAATAATCGATTTACAATTGGAACAGTACCAATTTTAAATCGATTATTCGATATGGAACACAGAATGATATTTTAATTATTTTAATTATCTTATTTTAAATACATTGTGATTTGACGGAATAACCAAATAATTTAATTTTAATGTATGGAAAGATCAATCGTGATTTTTCAGTGTCAATACTGTCCATAAATTACGCGAACACTAAAACGTGTCTGAGAAACAACAAACTTTATTTAGTCTGCGACATCTTCGCTCATCAGCTTTCAAACATTGTAACATTCGTAACACAATTACTTCCATTCCAGCCAAACAAAAATGTAAGCCACTGTACAAGTTATTGCTACGGGATAGCAAATGCATGGAAATGGGTGGAAGTGGGAGATAATGCGTTAGAATGGAGGAACAATACTAGAGACATTTACAGCGTACGTGATCTGATTTCAACCACTAGTTCTGTCCAGCAACGTCGGAAGTAATGAGGTCCGCCGGGATCTCTAAGTGGAACAGGAACACGAAGGACCCCAAAGAGGACAGGAGTAACAGGTGAGAACTGTGAGGGGCTGCACATTCACAGTAGAGGCAATGTGGTCATAGACGCTAAAAATTTCTAAATAAATACATCGATATTTCATGTCACTGAGAGGTAACGCGAGTTCTGTTAGTTAAAAAATCAGAAATATCAAAAGAAAAATGTCCGACACTTAATCACCTGTCAAAACTGTTCGCATAAATCTTAAAACTTTGCATACCGTGTAGTGTATTAGAATATAAAATAAGCAAACAAATAAACTATTAATGAGTTCTCAACTCAACTTCATGATTTGTTTTAAAACCATTTTGATTATATGAATTAATTCACCTTTTGCCACTGATGATGACCTCTTGAGGTCGAAACGCGTTTGGCACTAGTGTCATTTATAGTGTTAATAGTTCGTTTGTTTGCTTATTTTATGTTTGCATAAAACTATATTTTTATTGTTGAAAAAATCAGAAACATGATAACTGTGAAACTCTTATACAGTTGTGCACAAAAATTAAGCATACAGACTGATAACCAGGTTGTTTTATCATTATTAATGAGTTTTCTGAAACTTTCCTTATGAAATACGAAATGCAACAATTGTTTAGTGGGAAACTGGGAGGGGTTCTATAAAGGCAATAATTTTAAAATGTGTACTATGGAAAGAAAATGCGAAGGCTCCGAATGGATTAATCTGGCTCGGGATAGGGTCAGGTTGTGGGCTCTTGTGAGCATAAAAATAGCCCTCCGGGTTGACACGGCTGACCTCTTTATTAACTGAGCGAAAATGCACTTCTAAAATGGAAGCCCCATCTAATGGGTACTCAGGGGGTCTTTTCCCCTGGGGTAAAAGATGGCCAGAGCGTGTCTCTGTTTACTCCTAATTTAGAGGTCAAGAATACAGGACCCATACCTCTTCTGTTCCGAGGCACTCAATGGCGTGCAGTGGAACATCTTTACTTTAGGTACTAGCTGTATTTAAAAATGCTCGAGTGTCTGTGTAACAATTTTGCCAGTTTTGTTTGCATGTGCGATGGTGGCTGCCCGCTTTGAAGAAAAAGTAAATGAAAAGTGTCTGAATAATCTTTCAGAATGTCATTTCTCTCAGTGTATCAGACGTGCGGGGAGTCAAGTCACAAGTCTCTCAGAACTGAACTAAATATTGGAATTTTGAGCCTGTTTCCCTGTTGGAAATCAGTTTGACAACAACACTATTATACAGGATGAGTCACTTTAAAATGTGGTCAGATCAGTTATCATATGATGTATTTGTTTTAGCTGTGAGTAAGCGGAAGGACTTTTGATGATAGGAAGTGTTTAGAATGGACTTCCTAGTACTTCCTAATATTTCTACGGCTCTGATACTGCGATGGGGAAGGCAACGAGAAACCATGGATAATGGCTGATGGTAGCTGACATGATCGCCAGCATTCGATAATGGTCAGGGCACCAGAAGGAGAAGGAGAAGAAGATGATTTTCTGTATCTTAGGTCCTTATATTTTCCTCAGTACATTCATTATTCTGTATTTACTGTTTTACAGAAGTCTGGCAGTGTTATTTCTGGTCCCATGGTAACCCAGAGAGACCTCAAGGCAGCTCTAAGGGACACTGAACCTTCTTTGTCAGAAATGGAGAGGCTCAGATATCATCTGGTGTGAGTATAACTTTTGCTTCAGAAAGAGAGTAGATTATTTTCTGGTTTCCCTTTCAGATTTGTAACATTTGTGTGATCTTGAATTAATTAACATGTGTAAATGATATCAAGATTATCTCCATGTAATGTAATGTGATATGAAAATTGTTTTGGATTTGTGCAGTTCTGTGTCTCAGAACTCCCTGTCTAGTGTTTATAGTTTAAAGGCATTTGTTGGTTGGTATTTACCGAGTGTGCTTTCAGTTAAATGATTGTGATGAAAGATTGAATGGAGATTACTTAATTCTTCTTCTACGGCTCTCCAGTCCGTATTCGGTCCATGGCCTCCTCCATTCTCCTCTTCCATTCGGTCCTCTGTTAGGTCCATTCTGTCCGAGGCTTTGATGGAGGTTTTGAAACATCTTCCTTTTTACGGTGCAAGGTTGTTAGCCTTGCGACCAACCCCCAACCTGTAGGACCAGGGTACCTGTCTTAGTCTGACCTCTCCCCCTCGACCAGTCTGGTTAGGGAGGCCCTACCAGTAGCTCTTGGGGTCACTGAGGTACTCAGGCCCCACCACCACGACAAGGTGCAGGTACCATTAAGTGGGAGATTACTTAATTGAAGCTGTGATTAGAGTGATACTTGAACCACATGTATCAGAATTTAGAAAATAATGACAACCGAAAATCAGGCGTCACAGTTGAGTGGTTAGTGCATTTGGGAGATCCAGTTCAAATCTTGGCCGATAGACTGTCAATCTTGACTGAGGCTTCATGTGGTTCTTCTTAGTCCCTCCAGGTAAGTGGTAGACTAGCGTTTGGCCGTGACTGTTCACTTCATGTCACTAATTGTCCTATCATGCGATGATACATAGTCTGAGCTACAATTCTGAAGGTGGCATTAAATAAACTGCAAATAAATAAATAAAACCTGAGAATAATTTGATCTGGTACTGAAAATACTTTATCTAAGGCTAGAGATTTTGTCTGCAAATTTATACTTCTTTAGATATTGAGTACATTGTCTTTCATCCATAGTTATAGATTGATAGTAATAAGATGATATTATTTTATTGTGTAAAGTAATCAGTTCTGTCTTGTCTTAATTTCAGTTACGAGAGGTTTGAAAGATCTCGAGGTGGAACTTCTGCCGAAGAGATTGCCTCCGTGCCTCAAAGAGCAACTTTGGCATGATTACACATTTTTACCATCTGCTCAGAACAGACAGTCTAATGAAACTATCCCCTTCTTTTCCTATATTGAACTTTTATTTGTCTTTCATGGTGAAGGGCTTTGTGATATGTGCATTATTATATTCAGAAGCAAAACTGACTGAATGTAACCGTCGATGAAATATAATCACAAAATACGGAGTAAGCAGAATTTATTTACTGCTTTATAGAATATATAAACCACGCATTACAGGAGATATTAAATGACATTAAGGAACCGCTGAGACAATTTATATACTTTGTCACTTGTAGTCTGGTAAATGCCCAAATGTTAGACTTTGTATCACAAATGTTATGTGAAAGACTTGTTCCTTTGAGTAGACCCAGAGGACAAAAATTACAGGGGTTAAACAGGAGGCGTGAGAACGCAGTGGAATTAGCGTATCCCACCCAGTCCTCATCCTAGAAAAACTTTTATCCATGAATTTTTTGCAGTGCCAATCTCGAGTGCAGAGAAGTGCCATCTTGCTAAAAGAAAATGTTCCGACGGAGGTGAATCATTTATGGAAGTGCAAATAATTTAAGGATATCAAGGTAATTTGGATTGTTAAGTCTCTTCTTTTGGAAGAAGAAGGGGTCAATCATCACCACACATTCAGCTTGAGGCTATTATTTTTTCATATTTGTGCATGCAAACAGAAAATTCTGCAATTATGTTTATTTACCATTCCAGACAAGAGGAAAGTTAATTCCACATTGAAATAAGATGTCCGGGAAAGTGTTATCGTTGTCAGTCCTTCTGAGCTTGTCTAAAGAAAATTATCTTGTACGTAGCTGATTGTCTGGTTCTAGTGCTTGTGGTATCTTTAGATGACGGTGAAGAATTTTTTGCAATTTTTGGGGAATTTTAAGTTATCTGACTGATGAATTTCCCTTAGATGCAAAAGAAAGCTTTTTGAACTCTGTAGACTGCGTCATTGTCTGCGGAAGGCATTTTTGAGCCCTTCTTATGCGTGACGCTGCCTGTCTCTTTGAACTGTTCTGACCATTGCTTGACGGACTTCTCCGGTCTCTCATCCCGCGTATTTCATGTGGTAAGTCTTTGTACTTAATCACTATTTAATCTACCACTATCACAAAATACACGTGGCGTTCTGCTGCCGCTAAGGGTTTTGCTAGACGCGAAGCACTGAGGGCTCCATGAGAAAACCAGGATAAATTAATTCTACCAGCAGAAAAGGGCAGTGCTGCAGTCATAATGATCGATAAAGTTACATAAGAAAAATGAAAGATCTTATGCCATTACAACTTCGTTGCCTTGTCAATGCAGTGTAAGTTCCAAGACTGTCATGGCAAACGACGGCGTGCAAAGTCTAGTTTACTGAAGATTATGCTCCAGGTTAAGCAACAGTGCGTTGCCCAATTTGACTCTGCCTTCTGGTTGCATAGCTTACTAATAGGGATGAGGTATCACTGTGATTTATATCATAAATGTTTGGTATTCCTCGTAATGACCCTGATGAGCGAGTTTCTGAAACGATTTTTAACTCGGAACTGACACGGCTGATCGCCAGAGAGGATTTTGTAACCGTGGAAGTATAAAATCTTAAAAAAATTTAAAATGTTATAGTAGCCACTAAAGTTTGTAATTGATTATAAATTTTTACTTTATTTGGAAATTGTGAATCTTCTTTGTACTCGTCTAAATATATTTATCCCAGTTTTTGATGAACATTAATTGAATGTATGTGTGTGTGTGTGAGGGTTGTGATTTGTGTCTTCATATTCTTGCAATTCTGATTCCATATTCACCTTACAAAAAAAAAATGTTAAATTAATGACTGATGTCAAACCTAAAAATTTTGTGAAAGTCTCTTTAAGAGATCAGAGATCTTAGCTCTTCCATGTTACATATTCTCATACTATTGTACCGGCTGTATAATCTGATGTTTTATGTGCCGATAACAAAGGGGTTGGATAATAGTAAAACATTAACAAGGGGCCCACGCGAAGCACCTTCAGCACACCCCTGATATTATGAACACGTTTCAACCGTATGGTGAATTATCAGAATCCGATCGGTTTATTTGGAAAACAAATTTTTTAAAAAAATAAAATTTTGCGAAATTTGTTTCTGTACTGTTTTACATAGTAATTCTGCATTGTACACAGGCAGTATTTTTTTATGTGAGAAATCGTAATAGCAGGGTGGTATGAACCACCAACCAAGACATGAACCTCTTCATAATCTTTCCCGGTTCACTTGGCTGAAAAGAGGCAAATGTGAGTTAATTTCTGTGTTATGAACTTCCCTTCTCTTCCCGTCTCCAACTTCACTTCCTCACCCCACCAACTATCCATTTCCAGCGTTTTAACACTGCTGTTCCCTTGTTTAAAGTTTGTGCTGTGTGTGTGTTATGTTTACGTCATAATATATTACTGAACAACACTTAAAACAAAATTGTGATAAACTTGGTGTAAGTTAATTAGTGTTTTAATGGACTCTTCCTTGCTGCCACACTCTTTACCGTATACATATCAGGAAGAACAAGATGGAGGGAGAATGGTTTTTGAGTTTGAAAATTAGCAAAATAGGTTCATTTATTACTTAGAGTGTGTTTCCGGGGGAAAGAGGTTTCACTGGAAGATTACAGAAGTTACGCGGTTGTAGAGCTCCTCTTCAGATCGCGATAGTTATCAGCGTCGGGGATGAAGAAATCGGTTCAGAATCTGCAAGTTCCTTCAAAGTTTCCAAGTTTGTGTATTACTTATAGCTTCTCGTTTAAGATCCTTTTGAACTTGGATCTTAATACAGCCTGTAGTTTAAGAAAACGAGCATATCTTAATGAGTATGAGGTCTCTTTCGGGATTTGTATGTAAAATGAGAGCCTTAAATTACGTAGTTTTGTTCCTTTGTCCCCCCTTTGAAGCCTAATGAAGAGAAATTGATAGACAAGCAGTTTGTTGCCAGGGGCACTGGTTATTGGATTTATTGACGCAGCCTCCAACCTATCCCACCCTTTTGCTGGAACATATTACTTCCACTACTTATTCAAGGGGTTGCAATATGGAGTACTCAGTCATCTCCTTTCATGCTTTAATAACAATATTAGATTTCTTGTGAATTTTGTTTCGATTATTTCTACAGGAGGGTCCGCGGTGGCCGCGCGGTCTGAGGCCTTGTGCCGCTTGGTCGCAGGGACCGTGGGTTCGAATCCCACTCAAGCCATGGATGTTGTGTTGTGCTGTCCTGTGTACAGGTAGAGGCCTTGCGACGGGCCGATCCCTCATCCAAGGAGTCCTACCAAAATGTCTATAGATCGAGCCAACGAAAAGTTGGGACCCGCCTTCTCATTCTACTCTATTTAACGGATTACGTTTTCAAGGACAGAGTGGGAGTTACGAATGTCGAAATGTTTCAGAATGTATGATTTTAACCATAATTTTCAAAATAACTTAATTCAGTAGTGTAACATCCAGCTGTACGTATACAAATAATATCTGATGACATTAATTTGGCGTAGGAATGAGACGTGTTAGAGCTGAAGCAGTTTCTTCGGTAAATTTTTTTTGAAAAAAAGTTTTCGATAAAAAAAAAAGTAATGTTGGAAATGCAGGAAGTAATTACTAGTGCTTTAAGTTAAGTTGAATTTTATTTTGATTGCTTAAAGAAAGGACATACACCAGTCGGGCTGGTTTGTCTGCAGTGATAGCTTTAATTCTGGATGTTTGCTATTTGAAAGTCTTAAAAAAGTTTAAATTTGCTAAAAGTTGAACCCGTTGATGTGCAAGTACGTATACATAAACAAATATCGTAATTCGTTTAATTATTTTCAATGTAATATAACTCGTTGATTTTATTACTTTTTTAAACCGAATCTGAATATGGATTTTTAAACTCCGGTTGTTTCAAGTAGCACTGGAAGAATATTAATCGCTGCATTTGTGCGTGTTATTTCATTCGATGAAAGCAATTATTTCACTTGAACAACTTGTAAGAAATTTGTAAAAAAAAAAAATTACACGTCTATTCATAAAACAATGGACACTTTTCTGATTCAACGCCCTACAAAGGCGCTGCATAGTGCGAGATGTTGTATCTGCTTCTTAATTATTTTGCAGTTTCTGATAGTCGTATCTCGTCTGCATTCGTTTCTATAAAAATTGTTGGGGAGGGAGAAGGAGACAGATAAAAAAGAAGAAATATCTCAATTTCAAATGAAAATTTTCTACCATTTTTATCCATGAGTTCCGCCCTTCTTTGCTAACACAATTACTGTATATAAAATAATTTCATTGACGTAAAAATATGGGACGTGTTCTTTGCAGTTGATTATACAATCACAATCAAATCCCCCATCCAGCTATTCTTCGGGAGCTTTGAATAAGACCTAATTTCTTCCTCTGGAGTGAACTGTAATTTCCTGGGCTTCAATGCAAGTTTGGAAAACTCTTCGTTTTGTTGCTGGAAGTAGGGATGGGAAGAGGATAGAGAAAAGAGGCAAAATTTGACTTGTGCGATTTTCAGAGATGAAGAAAAGTTAGTGAATGAATGGGGACATAACTACTACGACACAGAGATTCTGCATATTCATGAGCGTCCAAACGACGCTTTCACATCGTGGACAAACAGATTTAGCTCCTGCTGCCATCTCTGTAGCCATTCCTTGAACTTACGACTCCCTCTAAATACAATAGAGGCTGCATTTATCTGTAGTGTTGCTAAGTGAGCATGAAATATAGTTTCAAATTTTTGACAAGTTCTCGGAAGGAGAAATACTAAACCTACAGTCTATTCGTTTTGTTGATTTTTTGTTTTTCTGAAGAGATTGTGTTTGATGGCCCAGAAAACAGAATAAAAAGCTCATATGAGAACGAATCACATTCGTGATATAATTTGAAGTAGCAATTATTTGTCTTGTGTAGTTTAAATCGATTTGGGCGTTTTCTTAAGAAATACTGCATTTAATTAACAGCCACTGTGTTCCTGACTGTCTGTATAAGTGCTGTTAACGTACGAAGTTAGACTAAGCACAACATTTATCGTTAAAATTGGTTCGTCTTAGTTACACGTATAAATTATGAAGTTACTCGTTGCCTGTATTTAAGGTTGTTTCGCCGTGTAGTCTGGTAGTTTACTGACGTCTCAGAGATACTTCCTGCTTCCATTATCAGGACGATCGCCCTGAATATTGAGCCAGAAAGTACCTCCGAAACGTTGCTAATCTTGTACCAGACTGCACGGAGCTACAACTCAGGAGACAGCAAGATTCATCCTCGTCGC